CACTGGGTCCGGGACGCGGACTGCAGCTGACTACGTGGGAGTCCAGCGACATAGCCATTACGCTAACTGCTGGTCCCACTAAATAATTATTTTTTAAAAGTTCACGGAACAATGGGACTGAAGCACAAATTTATTTTGGTGCAAAAAACTTGAAATCCATGCAATTTTTTCACAGTACACATTTCCCATTAACTTTTCCAAGACTCTCATTTGTACAGAATTTACAAGTGGCAGGCTCTGTACTACGTATTTTTATTCATGGGCTGGTCCGGTGGCCTGGTGGTTAAAGGAGCTGAATCCCACATGGCTGACAACACAGTTTGAGTCCTGAACTTGGCAGCTTGAAAAACACTGTAGTGCATGTGCATGTGAGCCCCAAATTCCAACCCTAACCCTAACCCAACACCATAGAGAAAGGGGGAAGGCATTGCATTGTGATCACATGCTTTCCTTGAGGGTACTCTGCCTTTCTTTCTCTCTCTGGCAAGTGCACATGCCCTCCAGCAAATTATATAAATAATTTTAAAAAGCACTTTTCTTTTGCTATAGGGCGTGTGCACTCGCCAGAAAGACAGAGAGAGACAGAGAGACAGAAAGCAAGAAATCACCCCCCAGGGGGGATGGCCATGCCGCAATCCCTTCTCCTCCATTCTCTCGGGATCTTGGGCACGCACGCACACATGCCTGGCATGAGTTTAAGCCACCGGGTCCGGGACTCGAACTGCGGTCAACTACATGGGAGTCCAGCGACACAGTCATTATGCTAACTGCTGGTCCCTAAAAAGTACTTTTATTTGTTGGTTCCTTTTTTAGTTTGCCTCAGGGCATGTGTGGACTCCTGAGGGAGGAAGTGAGAAATCACTCCCCAGGGAAGATGGCCAATCCCTTCTCCTCCATTCTCTTCTCAGGATTTTGGGCACACACACATGCATCTGGAGTGCTTCTCAAGCTTCTGGGTCTGACACTCAAACTGCGCAGTTGGCCATGTGGGACCTAGCTGACGGAATTACCGCCACCAGCTGGCCCCAAAGCTCTTTTATACATATTGCCTCACGTCATCCTCACAGCAGCTCGCGAGGCAGGTGCCTATGGAGGAGCACTCAGGTTAGTGCCTTGTCCCAAAGCATTCAGCAAGGAGGTGGCAGAGCTAAGAGCCAAAAGCAAGAAGATGGGCTCCTGGGTCCCTGCTCCCAGCAGCTACCTGACTGGCCTCCCCAGGCAGAAGAGAAACGGCGAGGACAGAGGAAAAGGCTCTGCACGCACCTGTTGGAAGAAGCGCTGTAGTCGCAGGGCCCGATGGAGGCCACTCTCAACCTGCTCCCGCCGCTGTTCAAAGATATCCAGAACCTTCTGGGAGGCAGCGTCCTCCTCTAGAGCCAGTGCCTCCCGTGCCTGGGCCAGGCGCTCCTGGAGAAGGGCGGCTGTGCTCAGACCAGGCCCTCACTCCCAGGTTGTCCCCCCAGCTCTCGCTGTCCTTTCCCGTCTCACCTGCACCTCAGCACTGAAAGAACGGAATCGCAGTTCTGTCTCCTGCAGGGCAGACAAGGTGTCTCCAGGCACAGAGAAACTCACCAGCTGCTCCTCCCCTGGACCCGAGAGCCACTGTAGCACCTGAGGTAGAAGGGGTGCGAGCACAGGGGGCCGTGAGTCGGGAGGAAGCCAGGGAGTAGAGGCAGAGAAGGGCTGAGAGCCAGCTCCAACACCGCTACCCCAACCTACTGAGCTCTGGGCAAACCATTTCATCGCATCCGTAACATGGAATGATAACAGCAAATGCTGGTAGTTGTTATAAGGGTCAAGTGAGAAGCTAGGAAAGACATCTGCAGTAGAGCATCAGATGAGGGACGATGGGCTGGCAGGACACACTGAGGGAGGGGGTTAGAGCCAGGCCTCTGCCTGGAAGGTGAAATGATAAAGCTGGTGTGAACCAAAGGCAAGACAAGGTTTGGATAACCAAGGCCGGAAGACGTTTAGTAATCACCAAGCCTTAGCTGCTGGCACGCACAAGGACCAGGGACCAGGCTTGGCCCAGAAGGTGGCTGTGAGGCAGCAGGTGGCGTAGTGGTTAAGGTGCTGGATTCAACATGAGTGACTCCAGAGTTCAAGTCCTGGATCTGGCAATTTGAAAAACATGCCAGGCTTGTGTGCACGCATGCCCAAAATTGTGAAAGAAGAATGAAGAAGGGAATTGAGGGACCAGCAGATACCATAATGGTTATGTCGCTGGTCCTACATGGCCGACCATGGTTTGAATCCAGGACCTGGCGACTTGAAATTCATGCAGGACATGTGCGTGCATGTCTAAAATCCCAAGAAGAGAATGGAAGAGAAGGGATTGTGGTGTGACCTTTCCCCTGGGGGGTGATTTCTTGCTTTTGGTTCCTCTGGCTAGTGCATGAGCTCTATAGCAAAAATCTCTCTCTAAAAATAAAAAGAAAGACAAAACAGAAGGGGTTGTGGTGTGGCCACACACTCCACTGGGAGGTGATTTCTCACTTTCCCTCTTTCTCTGTCTCCGTCTCTGGCAAGAGCATGCACCCTAAGGCAAAAATCTGAAAAAAAAAGTGGCCATGTGTGTGCACGTGTGTATACCCAGATCTAGTTGCCTATTATGGGCTGTAGATATTCTCATGCTACTGTTGAGATGTTTGACCAAAAAGGGATGGTCATTCTTATCTTCTGAAGGAAGAGTAGGGAGCCAGCAGGTGGCATGGTGGTTAAGGGCACTGGACTCCCAGAAGGTCGACTGTAGTTTGAGTCCTGGATCTAGTGGCTTCTTTCTCATTTTCCCTCTCTCTTTCTCTCTCACTCTCCCTCTGTTCCTTTCTGGTCAAATTAAAATAAATAAATAAGTAAAGTTAAATAAAATAATTCTTAAAATGGGACCAGCAGTTGGTGTAATGGCTATGTCATTGGACTCCCATGTAGTCCACCACAGTTCAAGTCCCAGACCTGGTGGCTTAAACTCACGGGGCCATGACCTTTTAAGAAGAGAGTTAAACTGGAAATGGATGGCAAAGGGACTCAGAGCTAGGCCATGTGAAGAATAGTTGGAGAGGGACCAGCAGTTGGCATAATGGTTATGTCGCTGAACTCCCATGTAGTCGACTGCGGTTCGAGTCCTGGATCCAGTGGTTTAAACTCATGCTGGGCACATGTGTGTGCGTGCCCAAGATTCCGAGAGGAGAATGGAGGAGAAGGGATTGTGGCGTGGCCATCCTCCCTGGCGGGGGTGATTTCTCGCTTTCTGTCTCTCTGGCGAGCGAATGCTCCCTGTAGCAAAAATCTCTCCAAAAAAAGAAAAAAGAAGTTAGAGAATGTTTCAAACAGCCAGTCCTAACAATAGTTGCTTCTACAGTCCTTTGCTGAATTCATCTGCTCATCCTAACCACTTTGTAAGTTTATTATTATTTTTTGGGGGGGTGGGGAGGTTTTTGCTATAGGGTACTTGCACTCGCCAGAAAGACAGAGAGAGACAGAGACAAAAAGCGAGAAATCACCCCCGCCAGGGAGGCTGGCCATACTGCAATTCCTTCTCCTCCATTCTTCTCTCAGGATCTTGGGTACGCACGCACATGAGCCCAGCATGAGTTTACGCCACCGGGTCTGGGATTTGAACTGCCATCGACTACATGGGAGTCCAGCCATGTAGCCATTGTGCCAACTGCTGATCCCTGGGTTGATTATTACCCCCTCTACAGATGAGGAGTTGGGAATTCAAAAAAGCTTCACGACTTGTCCCACATCTTATAGCTGGCAGAGGCAGACCTTAAGCTAAGAATTTTAGACCCCAAATCTTGTTTTTGTTTTTGAGGGGTAAGCGGGGTGGGGGAAGGTAACAGCTAACAGGCAAGCAAGCAAAGAAACAGCAGGAGGTACAAGTCCCTGGATATTGAGACAGAAAGTGAGAAAGCAAGTTGCCAGGTCCAAGACTCAAACTGCAATCAGCCAGGTAGGAGTCCAATGCCTTAACCACCACGCCACCTGCTGGCTCCCGACATTTAATGCAGAAATGCCAGGAAACGGAAAGCCCTCGCTCCAGTTTAGCATCGACCCCGACACTTCCCTCCCCTGATGCCAGTCCATGAGTATAACTGACTGTGCTTGGGACTGGGGAGGAACAATTAGATTTCAAAGTCCCCTCTACCCCACATGGTTGGGTGGGCAGCAAATCCCCATAGGACTTTAACGCCAGGAGAAAAGAAGCCAGCTTAATTTTTGAATCTTCCCCGCAAAGAAGCCCATGGTGCAAAGAAGCCCATGGTGACTCTTAGGAGCTTCCAATACCGTCTCCTTCAAGGTGGAGGGAGGTGTGACCTTTTCAGCATCTGGTCTGAGAGATGGATACCGCGTAAGGCAGCTTGTACGAATACACATATATTTAAGCTAAGAAGGTAGGCGCTCCAGAGTCCATCAGCTCTCTCCAGAATCCCTGCTATACCCAAGCATCTCTCACGGTCTCTAAGGCTCCTCCATCAAACATAAACAGCCCGGGGAAATCTGGCTTCTCTTCTTTGCCAGTAATGAGAAGCTCCCACCCTCTTGCTGGATCTCACAGTGACCAGGACCAACCTCCAGGAAGTGAGGAGAGACGGGCGGGGGGCATTCAGCCAAGCCAAGCTAGAACAACATCTAAGTATCGGTGGGAACGGGGTGCTGGAGGCCAGGCCCCCCGGGTGAAGACAAGAGTTTTGGAGGCTGGGAAATTCAAGGTCGAGGTACCTGTAGATTTTATTCCTGGTGAGAGCTGTCTATTGAAAGGGGCATAGACATTCAGTCCATAACACAAAGTTTCCATGTTGAAGTAGGATCACTCTGAAGTGGGAGCTCCTTGGGCCACACTTTATAAACCTGTCATAGGAGTTTAAGTCAATAAGAGGAGTATTCAATAATTATATTGAACAAAGTATAATAAGGGGGACAAAAGAAGTGAGAATATTCTGTCTATTGGTAGACTGAGCAGATTTGGGTAATTTACATTTAATCTTGGGCCATGACCTTTTAAGAAGAGAGTTAAACTGGAAATGGATGGCAAAGGGACTCAGAGCTAGGCCATGTGAAGAATAGTTGGAGAGGGACCAGCAGTTGGCATAATGGTTATGTCGCTGAACTCCCATGTAGTCGACTGCGGTTCGAGTCCTGGATCCAGTGGTTTAAACTCATGCTGGGCACATGTGTGTGCGTGCCCAAGATTCCGAGAGGAGAATGGAGGAGAAGGGATTGTGGCGTGGCCATCCTCCCTGGCGGGGGTGATTTCTCGCTTTCTGTCTCTCTGGCGAGCGAATGCTCCCTGTAGCAAAAATCTCTCCAAAAAAAGAAAAAAGAAGTTAGAGAATGTTTCAAACAGCCAGTCCTAACAATAGTTGCTTCTACAGTCCTTTGCTGAATTCATCTGCTCATCCTAACCACTTTGTAAGTTTATTATTATTTTTTTGGGGGGTGGGGAGGTTTTTGCTATAGGGTACTTGCACTCGCCAGAAAGACAGAGAGAGACAGAGACAAAAAGCGAGAAATCACCTTCCAGGAGGGATGGCCACACCGCAATCCCCTTCTCCTCCATTCTTCTCTCAGGATCTTGGGTACGCACGCACATGAGCCCAGCATGAGTTTACGCCACCGGGTCTGGGATTTGAACTGCCATCGACTACATGGGAGTCCAGCCATGTAGCCATTGTGCCAACTGCTGATCCCTGGGTTGATTATTACCCCCTCTACAGATGAGGAGTTGGGAATTCAAAAAAGCTTCACGACTTGTCCCACATCTTATAGCTGGCAGAGGCAGACCTTAAGCTAAGAATTTTAGACCCCAAATCTTGTTTTTGTTTTTGAGGGGTAAGCGGGGTGGGGGAAGGTAACAGCTAACAGGCAAGCAAGCAAAGAAACAGCAGGAGGTACAAGTCCCTGGATATTGAGACAGAAAGTGAGAAAGCAAGTTGCCAGGTCCAAGACTCAAACTGCAATCAGCCAGGTAGGAGTCCAATGCCTTAACCACCACGCCACCTGCTGGCTCCCGACATTTAATGCAGAAATGCCAGGAAACGGAAAGCCCTCGCTCCAGTTTAGCATCGACCCCGACACTTCCCTCCCCTGATGCCAGTCCATGAGTATAACTGACTGTGCTTGGGACTGGGGAGGAACAATTAGATTTCAAAGTCCCCTCTACCCCACATGGTTGGGTGGGCAGCAAATCCCCATAGGACTTTAACGCCAGGAGAAAAGAAGCCAGCTTAATTTTTGAATCTTCCCCGCAAAGAAGCCCATGGTGCAAAGAAGCCCATGGTGACTCTTAGGAGCTTCCAATACCGTCTCCTTCAAGGTGGAGGGAGGTGTGACCTTTTCAGCATCTGGTCTGAGAGATGGATACCGCGTAAGGAGTTGAAGAAGCACTCCGGCAGTGTAGCTGACCAGCTGGTACCAATACACATATATTTAAGCTAAGAAGGTAGGCGCTCCAGAGTCCATCAGCTCTCTCCAGAATCCCTGCTATACCCAAGCATCTCTCATGGTCTCTAAGGCTCCTCCATCAAACATAAACAGCCCGGGGAAATCTGGCTTCTCTTCTTTGCCAGTGATGAGAAGCTCCCACCCTCTTGCTGGATCTCACAGTGACCAGGACCAACCTCCAGGAAGTGAGGAGAGACGGGCGGGGGGCATTCAGCCAAGCCAAGCTAGAACAACATCTAAGTATCGGTGGGAACGGGGTGCTGGAGGCCAGGCCCCCAGGTTGAAGAGAAGGGGCTCACCTGCCGGAGCCGGTGCAGGCGTTGTCGCCGTTCCTGCTGCTGCACATGCAGGTTGGAGAGGCGCACGAGCTGGTGAATGGCCTCGTCCACCTCCTGATAGAGCGTAGCTGGACCCGAGCCCTCCAGCCTGCGGAAGGAGGAGGGCGAATGAGCCCACTGCCCTCGTCAAGCCCCTCAATTCTGCTCTCACGAACATGAGAGGTGGCATAGCATCATGGATCAGACTGCCTGGATTTCAATCCTAGCTCATCCATTTAGGGGCTGACCTTGGCCAAGATATTTACTGTTTCCTTTTTCTTAAAGGAATTATTTATTTAATTTCATTTATTATTATTATCGTTTTTTAATTTGACCAGGGAGAGAGAGAGAGGGAAAGTGAGAAAGTAAGCTGCCAGGTCCAAGACTCAAACCGCAGTCAGCCATGTGGAAGTCCCATGCCTTAACCACCACGCCACCTGCTGGCTCCCGACATTTAATGTTTCTGATTCCTTGGGACCAGCAGTTACCATAATGGTTATGTTGCTGGACTCCCATGTAGTCGACTACAGTTCGAGTCCTGGACCCGGTGGCTTAAACTCACGCCGGGCGCATGTGCGTGTGTGCCCAAGATCCCGAGAAGAGAATGGAGAAGGGATTGCAACGTGGCCATGTGCCCCCCCACTGAGCATGATTTCTCACTTTCTGTCTCTCTCTGTCTTTCTGGTGAGCGTACGCACACCATAGCAAAAACCTCTAAAAAAGAAAGTTTCTGATCCCTTGAATCCACGCTTGTAATTCTAACTAGCACACAGGTATGTTTGGGCTTTCTCAGATAGGTGAAAAGCATGGTCTCTTGCCCAGGTAAAGTAAGAACGATTCATCAGCTACAGTGTGCTGGCATCCTCTGGCGTGTCCCCACCTCCCACTTCCGCCTGCCACCGCACACCCATTCCTCGTACTTGCTGCTGTGGGTGGAACGC